AAAGAATGTGTGTTATCGTGTGAGATTTATAAGATATAAGATAGATCTAGACGATACGATTGAGAAGTGAGAAAGTTCTGACAATAAGTGAATCGTTGGAGAATTGAAAGAGAGTAGGAGTTCAGAAAGACAATGATTGAGGGAGTCCAATTGTATTAAGGGAGAGTTGTTGTAGAATTGAATTGTTATTGTACTGTTTGATTTTATTATTAGGATGTAACATATGGAATTCCTGGTTCATATTTCACTGGACCCAAAGGGAGATTCGTTTATATACGTAAATATAAAACTGCAATTCATATATGAAACAGAAAATTCTCAACTTTGAAATAACGTACACGAAATGATAAAGATAAACTTATTTGTTAAAAAAAGATTTAAAAAATTGCCTAGAAAATATTATTATTTTACTCGTACGTAATATAGTTGTTATTTTATATTTAGTGATTAAAAGTCTTACAATCTAACATTTCTCCAATACGAGGTACCAAGTAAAACTTTGCAAAACCACCCTTCATACTTGGAATCTGAGCGGAAATCAAACGAGATCAGGAAAGGGGATTCATTCCGGGTCACTGTACACCCTTCGCAGTGTTTCCACATTCCCGAGGCAAACAGCTTCCCTTTCAGACACGCAACAGCCCTTTCGCGAAACTTGCAGCGTTCGACGTCTCCGTACACCGGAAATGTACTCCACGTTTGAATATTTCAACCAACTGGCAAGAGGCAAGGCGTAGGCGACGAGGCTTCCTCGAACAAAGCCTGACATTACCGAGTCCTGCGTCCTTTCCAATAAGCAGTCGAACGCTCGTAAGCCTCGAGGCTTCGTGCCCGTTAATAATTCTGGCCGCCTCTTATCTCGATTTAACATGATATATCACATGCTGCGCGTGAAACGAGCACGTGGTAATTTATTTAAACGCGTGCACACGAGCACCTTGCCACCCACTCGCGAACGTCTCTCCTCCCGAGGAAGCAGTCGGCGATTTTTCTTCCTTTGTCCGTCTATGGAAGAACTTTTGTCAACGGTGTATTCCTTTCTTACTCGGGCGCGAAATTAGCGATCATAATTAGTCGCGGCTGTGGAACGTGGCTAGCAACCGAGCACGGGCTTTCTTCCGTTGTTTTCCGCGTTCTAGCCGCGGGCTGGCACTGCCAGATTGTTTCCCTCGCCTCTATTCTCTTCCGTTGTCCTTCTATTGTCCCTTTTCTTCCTTGTGTCGCCTTTCTCTCCGTCACTACCCCTTGTGCTCTAGTTCCTTCTTTCTTCTTTTTTCTTTTCAGTTCTCTTGATCCTGATATTTGCAGTGAACGGGGTGTAGATAAGCGTAGAATAAAATGAAGGATAGGGTCGGTATATTTGAGATCTTTTTTGTATTTTTAGATTAATTTTGTAGAGGATAATTGAGTGTAGATTAAGCGTAGATTAAATGTGTAAACTTGTAGTGAGGTTGAGGATATTAATTTACTTTAAATACTTTTATGGGGTTTAGAAAAATGTATTTGTAGAATTTTCGGATGTAACGAAACCATAGCGAAATAGTAGCTCCATTAATGTGGAATATTCAAAGTGCGGAGCTTAAAATTCACAGTGCCTGATCCCAAAATGTAAGCGATCATCAGATCGAATTTCAAAATTTAACACACCTGCATTAGTAAGTATCTTAATCTACATATGCTTCCCAAAATTTATAATAAATGGCACTAAAATTTAGGCTATCGCCAGATTTGACTCCGAAATTTAAGTGGTCGTTAAAGTTACTTCAACATTTAACACACGACGAATTAATAGATAGCTTTCCTAATCTGCATATATCTACCTTTCAAAATTTATACCAAATGATTTAAAATTCAGACTGTCACAATGTCTGACTCCAGAGTTTAGCCTCAAAGTACTAAATATCTCTATTAATCCATACAGATAGCCCAAAATTCACACGGTCGCCGTGTCTGCCCATATTCACTAATTCTACTTCCAAAGTAGAATTAACCTCCTACGCATCAGACCTCCGCTTGAATCGCAGTTCTCCAAAAGTCAACACCCCTTTCACAGACAAATCCTTCACTTGGCAGAGAGAACGTTGTACAAAGAGGCTCGATGATCCCAAAACGTCATGATCCATGATCACCCTTCCCTCGTATTCCGTTTTTCCCTTATTCCTCCTTTGTCACCCACCCTTCGTTTCTTCCCCAACTATGGATGCTCATTGTACCACCCTATTTTTCTCCTCTCTCCGCCACTTTTTCTTTCTTTCTTCTATCACTTGGACGGGTCGCGGGCGCTCCCGAGGGCGACGTGAACCATCGGACAAATTGCTACGTGTGTTTACGTTAAATGGCTTAAGAGGCGGCGTTGAACGCAAAAGCGCGCGATAGCCATCTGCGAGAAAGTGCAATCGATGTAAGTCAAGCTTCGACCAGCCAACGCGCTCTATTCCCCGTGTACGCGCATTTATCTGGATTAAGACAACTTTGTGTTCGTCTGGAATCACGTGGGGCACACTCGTGCTTTCGTATGTTTCGCGCGCTC